GTGTGCATGCCAAAATGTTAATTTATAGTTATCGGTAATATTTTATTAACTAGTAAAATGGACACAGGTGCTATCTATGTTTTGTAAACTGCTTTCTATTTATTTTGTTAGACAATCATGTTTACTTACCTTATAATCACTAACATAGTAAGTGCTTAGTCATTGTTTGTGTTCCCTAAAGCCTACTGTCAGATTCATTGCTACTCTAAGCTTAAATATATATTATGTTGGGTGAAGCACCATATTCCTTTTTTTATATACAGTATAATGCAGTACTTAAGTCACTAAACATTAGGCTTCTGTAGATGATTATTGTGAGTGAATTAACATTAATCATTTTCGGAAAAATATATGTGGCAACTGACATTTAATGTGTATAAGTTCAAGATAATGCATCTTGGACGTAAAAACCCAAGGGCAGAGTACAGAATATTTGATAGAGTCCTAACCTCAACATCTGAGGAAAGGGATTTAGGGGTGATAATTTCTGATGACTTAAAGGTAGGCAGACAATGTAATAGAGCAGCAGGAAATGCTAGTAGAATGCTTGGTTGTATAGAGAGAGGTATTAGCAGTAGAAAGAGGGAAGTGCTCATGCCATTGTACAGAACACTGGTGAGACCTTACTTGGAGTATTGTACGCAGTACTGGAGACCGTATCTCCAGAAGGATATTGATACTTTAGAGAGAGTTCAGAGAAGGGCTACAAAACTGGTTAATGAATTGCAGGATAAAACTTACAAGGATAGGTTAAAGGAACTTAACATGAATAGCTTGGAGGAAAGACAAGACAGGGGGATATGGTAGAAACGTTTAAATACATAAAGGGAATCAACACAGTAAAGGAGAAGATTATATTTAAAAGAAGAAAAACTACCACAACAAGAAGACATAGTCTTAAATTAGAGGGGCAAAGGTTTAAAAATAATATCAGGAAGTATTACTTTAGTGAGAGGGTAGTGGATGCATGGAAAAGCCTTCCAACTGAACTGGTAGAGGTTAACACAGTAAAGGAGTTTAAGCATGCATGGGATAGGCATAAGGCTATCCTAACTATAAGATAAGGTCAGAGACTAATGAAAGTAGTTAGAAAATTTGGCACACAAATGGTTCTTATCTGCCGTCACATTCTATGTTTCTATATCCTTCTTAAGAAAAAGAAAAATTCCACAACACCTCTTTAGTATAATTTTCATTGATATAAGTACTCTGTCTTGCAAGTGTTAACTACATAGAGACTAACATGCATACATCATGCACATATCATTTACAATAGTTTTAAATTTAGAAAAATAATAATTAATTTAAGCAAACAGAGGTCCAAGTTACTTTTGGTTGTACAGGAGAGAAGCCAAAGGAATAGGCTGGGCAGCTCTCCCCAGAGTCAAGTGACCCCTTTGTCTAATCAGGATGAATCCAGAGGTCAGAGAAAATGAAGCAGATTATAAGACAAATATCAGAAATGAACGTCACTCAAGAATTCTTTTGGACTGCATATTTTCGTTTCTGGAGTTAATGAACTGAATATCCAGAAATATTTTACTGTGAATACAGCCATGGTTTACTAAACTCCAAAAAAATAGGAATTGTACATGTTCAAGCAATAAATATAATATAACCTCTGTCAGCACGGGAGGTGGTGAATGCTTTATGTAGAAATTTTTTACACATGTTACACATGTTCTCAGTTTGTTTGAGTGTACATCTGACTTGCATGATTGAGTTGTGTTCATTTGACCCAATAATGTAACTTTGCCTTGCTGTATGAGGCGTTCTCAATGGAGGCCTATTTTGTAAGTTCTCCTATTTCCTTGATAAAGGCCACAAAGCATGGCTGAAACATTATCTGTTTGATACTCAATGTTCCTACTAAAGTTGTAATTTTGTGGAAACAAAGGTTAACTCTTACATCAAAGTGAATAATATCGAATACAATTGCATTGAGAGGGAGAGCTATCCAAGTTTAAACAATACTACCTACAATGTCAAAACACCTCAAACAGTGCACTGTCAATTTCTACTTCTGGAAACCAAGGGAATTCAATAGATGATATTTAGATTGCTATCCAGCCTACCTGGGATTTCCAGTGGAACTTGACTTTAGTCAAAGTCCATCCTAGGCTTAGCTTAAGTTTAACCTGCATAAGGTCTAATTCAAATATCAGTATTATTAACTAAACTGTGAATGATTAGGAAGTCAATGTAAATTCCAAATGATTTTCAATTTATGACTAAAGAAGCCAAATTAGAAGCCTATCTGCACAGGCACATTTTTCTACTTTGGCTATTTTTTCCTTAAATTTGAAATTCCCCTTGAATTCACTTTGAATTCCTGGCAAATCTCACTTTAGTGAATAACCATATTAGTGTGTACATTCTGCAAATTCTGATATATATATCAAAGTGGACCAAGTTATATTTTATATAACTTTAAATATGCACACAATCAACATACACAACCCTCTGCATTTATAGATACAAAAATTTGCATTAAATTAATTAATGACATTTTCTTTTTCCTATAAATTATGATTTAGTTGACACACATTGTCTATAGTTATTGAGTGTAAAAGTAGATCATTATTTTGGTGCAGCAAATGTTTTCCAAAGAATAACATAGACATTAATTATGTAACTATTAAATCACAGACTTGGTTGAAAAAAGTCACAATTTACCTTCATGTCCCTAATTCATTCAGGTCAGCTATATATATATTTAGATCAGTATTTATGTATATCAGTATGCACATGCATACCTTTACAATATTGTATAACAGAATAAATTAGGTTAAGTTGCTGCTAAATAAATATAATAGATAGATAATATATAATATAAATAATAGATGTCAAAATAAATACAATCATCTTTGCGAAGATGTATATATATACGCATATATGGGTCTATGTGCAAAGGCACAATATAATCAAATGAGTAGAATTATGCATGTTATAAGTATAATTGTATTTATTAACAGCATATTTTAACCTTATTACTAGGGAAGCGTAGAGCTTTGTCAGTAATAATAACTTAATGAGCCTTAAATAATATTGTCTTCATCAGAGTAATGATGAAGGTTACAGTAATGATGAAAAAATAGAGTTTTGCTGTCTCTCTTGAAACTAAAATCCTCCTCTTTCTGATGATTAGGGTCATACAAACAGAAACTGGCAAAATAAAATTGTGTGTTTCAAATATTAAAGAGACAAGATGCTTAACGGTGACATTCCCTTTATAATGCATTGAAAATTGAAAATGCATTTAGTTATTGCAAACACTTATATTCTAGAATATAGATCACTGTATGATAATTAGTACAACTGAAAAAATTAAGATGAAAATGTATCTTCATCCACAGTAATTGCACTTATGTAGTAGTAACATTGACCTGAATACTGAATTTTATACACGCTACGCCTACCTTTGTTGTCTCCAAGCTATTGTACATAACACTGTTCTCTGCATTTCATTTACTAAATTTAATTTAATGTGATACTGTAAACCCAGCCTTAGTAGGCATGAGTAACCAAGAGAAAAAACTGATAACAATGAGAAATTCAGCACAATAAACTATTACATTCATGCTGGCAGAGCCACAGGTGACTTTTGTTGCAAAGGATGATCTGTAATAGAAACTGGTGTGAGAGGGTGCACATGGGATAAGAAAGTTGATTACATAGAAAGTAGTGCTGGAAGATGGACACAGGAATGTTAGGTTCCCAGGAGGGGGTACAGGCACAATCATAGTTAATTTTCATATATTTGCCATATCAGTAGAAAGCACATTGATCAAATATTTGGGCTGCTGTGGTTAATGCTCCTGCGTTATTATATTATGACCTATCCATTATATTTCCATTATATCTCCTGCTAAGAACAATATTCATAAAGGACTATATCGTAATGACTCATGCCATCAGGAAATGTAATTTACCGTTGACTTCTTAGCTCGTGTCAAAAATACAGAACAAGTTGTTATTTTTTATTATGATATTCTGGTTATTTTAAAGATAATTTTACATACAGTTTTTGCTTTAGTCCCTGATATTAACATCATGTAGCAATTATTCATGTGACCTGATATAAGTTTTTTTTTTTTTTTTACTAAGCAGCAAGTTTTCATGAGATCACATGGCGCTTGCCAAATGCATGCATCCGTGTATTCTTAAATTATTGTTGTTGGCTGAAAAAAAATTGCACTTTTTGTAGTACTGAGTATTCTTATCTTTTTCAAAATCAATCTAATCTGATTAGAACTGATTTGAATATTTATTAATTAACATGCTTTTTCTACACTATATAATTGTTAATCTATGTAAAGAGTCCATGAATTTGTGCTATGTAAGAGATAAAAATAATTATAACTTTCATAATGTGCTTGCGAGTATATTAAAAGGATACTATTTGCACCAAAACAACTTCAGCTTATTTAAGTAATTTTGGTGTATAGATCATGCTCCTGCAGTCTCACTGCTAATTGCTCTGCCATTTAGGAGTTACATGAATTTGTTAATATAACCCTAGTCACCCTAGTCACACCTTCCTAAACACTTCCTGTAAAGAGAGAGAGAGCTAATGTTTAAATTTCCCTTATTGGCCATTCTGCTTAATTTTCTTATCTC